CACCCCAGCCCTTTTTAGGGTGTCCCATCCAAAAAGGCCCCAGAGAAAAGGACCATTCAAAAAAAAAAAAAAAAAAAAAAAAAAAAAAAACAACATGGGGGGAAAGTAAACTGAATTTATACAATACAACATCTGCAGCATATGGATTTGTTGTGTCAGTGTGTAACTAGCACCCCTCAGAGACAGCAGCATCATGTTCGGCAGACCATCCTTATTAGCTTGTTTGCATTCACAGCCGATCCCAAGCGGCAGCTAAAGCAAGAGATGCTGTCAGGCAGCCCTGCATTATATACAGCCTCATCAGCAGATATACGATGCACAAGCAGGCAGTCGAACAAGGCTCCCTTTACGATCTCTTTCACGCCTCATACCATCACATCGACACTTACAAAGGACATGTCATGTGCATAATCCTTTAAGCGCTGCGATAAATAATCTTCATCGTATCCACACTAACAGATGTGTGTTAATCACAGAGCGACCAAGAGGTAAAAGTAAAAGAGACACCAACTTTCTCTCTGAGATGCAGGCAGATGTCCTGCTGGTGCTGGCGGTCTCTGTGGTGCTCCAGCTCCTCCTGGTGGGCGTGTTTCGCCTCCTGCAGCGTGTCCAGGGCCCTGTCCAGGAGCTCCTGCGTGTCTCGCTGCCACTGGTGGGTCACGACTCTTATTTGTTTCTGGATGAATCGATGCATGTCGCAGCTACGTCCGTGTTGCAACTGAGATCAAAAGAAGGAACACTGATATGAGACCTTTTCTAAATGTGTTCACTTCATCTGTGCCATGGACATGTGTGTTTTTGTCACATGTAAATGTTTTCAGATCATCCACCTAAATAAATGCAAAAAAAAACTATTTTCAAATTCATTCATTTATTGAGATAACTTATTCTTAACAGGTTATGTAAAAAAAAGAAAAAAAAAAGTATTCACCCTCTGGTTCTGCTCCCACCTGTTTGGAATAACAATATTCAAAGGTTGTTGTGGTACTTTCACGTCACTATGAAGAAATTTTGGACTTTACCTAGGCCACCCCAAAACCTTCATTTCACGTTTTGCAGCTAATAAGTGTTTTTGGTAACACTTTATTTGAAGGGGGGTGAATAAGACTGACATGACACTGTCATAAACATGACATAACACATGTTATGAACATGAATAAGCCTTCATGAATATTTATGACTGTTGTCATAAAGCGTCATTCGGTAAATTATGACACTTTTAATACAAAGTTGACATTATTCAAAATGCTTTTGTTATGACAACTTGACATTAACCAAGAAATCATTACTGTTTAAACTTTACCTTTAATAACATAAAGATACCTAATTTTTAAAGTGCAATCATTAATTCTTTTATAACAAATTTATATCAGTAATGATTTCTTGGTTAATGTCAAGTTGTCATAACAAAGACATTTTGGATAATGTCAACTTTGTATTAAAAGTGTCATAATTTACCGAATGACGCTTTATGACAACAGTCATAAATATTCATGAAGGCTTATTCATGTGCATGACAGGTGTTTATGACAGTGTCATGACAGTCTTATTTACCCCCCTTCAAATAAAGTGTTACCGTGTTTTTTTTGTTTGTTTGTTTTTTCTTGTGTACAACACAAGCCTGTTGTGCACTTGAGCATAACAGGCTGACAAACTGGTTGGACGTTTCTGTGCCAGATCTTCCATCAATCAAATTGTCCAGATCCTTAAGCAGCAATGCTGTCCTACACAATTGATATTTTAAAGTATTGAGCACTGAGTCACTTTTAATTGTGTTGTAATTCTATTTATTGTGTGTTTTTGGAAAGAAAACTGACCCTCTTCACCGTCACTAAATCCACCTAATGGTATAAAGGCGACTGGTTTGATTGAATGACCCCAATGTTTGACTGCCTGTATGATTTTTTTTTTTTTTAAACATAAATACTTTTGAGTTTTACACCAGATGCATCACTATTCCAGAGAATGCTCTATTAAAAATATTGGGGATCATCAGGAAGTTTTTTCATGACAAGGGCCTCGTGTCCTTATTTTGTTTTTAACAAAAATGCTCTCCCAATTTTGCCCAGTGTCTTATCGTTGAATCATGAATGCTGACATTATACCGCAGTAAACGAGGCCTGCAGTATTTTAGACGTTGTTCCAGGCTTCAATCCGTTTTTGAATTTCTTTAGATTTTGCCGTGATGTGTGTCTTTCTGTGACCTTTTAGCCTGCCTCATGTTGCCAGACATGTTCTATCCAAACAGCAGGTGAAATTTAAGAAAGTTTAGTTAATCTATTCATTTAAGGGGGGGGATGTTATATTTTCACACAAGTCCAAGTTTGGTTTAGATGATCATTTTACACAGGTTATCTTTGTCCGATATGAAAAATGACTGGATAATCTAAAGCAAAGGTGACACGAAAAAAACAACAACAAAAAAACAAAAAAGAGGAAACAAGAAGAGAGCAAATGACATGGGAGAACACAAGTATTCTCATATGATTATTTTTTTTAAGATAATGCTGAAGAAGATGATAAAAATTGAGTCACTGCAGCCAAATCCTACTTGTTCTGCATTATGCACCAAATTTATGATGCATTGCAAGAATTTCACAAACATTCTTGCATGACACACTGTCTACACTAAAGGCAGCATTACCACAGGGACACCTTTGTGCCAGATCTAGCTCTGCAGGGGTATGAGACCATCCCTCTCTCCTGGCTGTGAAATGTTCTGAAGGAAAACAGTTCTTTTCGGTGTGAGGACTGCCCGTAGCTATTCATCATTGTGTCAGCACACTCCGAGGCTGCACCACTTGGCTGCCTCATTGGAACAGAGGGAATGATATTCATCTATTGACTAATAGCAGCTAACTGACAGTGTGAAGGCATTAGACGGCTGACTGGTTTTATTGAAAATGAGTGAGCTGACAGACCCGCCGTCGCAACAGAAGTGGCAGGATTAGTCAAGCGAATCCTGTTTATTAATGTGCAACTTTCAGAGATCCACCTTTTTATTCTTCATTCTTGCCCTCTCCTTCACCATTCCCGTTTTAACCCGTGCTTCCAGATGCAGTGAGCACGAAGACATAAATTAACACAACAGCACAAATGAGAATGAAGACACATGGTTCATGCACAGTCTCTCTGTGTCCGTGCATACAGGTTGTCTATTGAGGTCAGTTGTGGCATAAGGACGCATCGAGCTGCACAGAGCCTTCTCTACACACTTGAAGTGTGGCAACACTTTGCTTCAGTGATCCACGTTTCATCTGTGAGATTCTGCTGCATCCTCAATGTCTTAGTTGTCCAGAAAACAGAAAGAATGAGAGAACAGAATAAAAAAATATATATATAGAAGCAGAAAGTGCCTCGTCAAAGTTTTTTTTCGTGGACTTTCTCTTTCAGCTGATAAATTAAACATAATTTATTGGGATTTTATGCAATACAAAGGATTGATTTATGTGACACAAAGAGGCGCATTATAGTGAGGAGTAAGGAGAATCGCACATGGTTTTGGCACTTTTTTTTTCTTTTACAAATAAACAACAAGACTTGCATTTATGAATACTCCTTTTACACCGATACCTTAAACCTTCTGTCAGAAGACACCTAAGCATTATTTAAAAAACTCACCTGTGAAGGTCTTGGATGTTTAATTGAGTAATCAGAGAACAAACAGCATATAAAACAATTTAAATAGTGCACCAAGCATTGTTAAATCCATCATATGAAGATGATGGATTCATAGGACATATATTCCCATAAAACCAATGGGAATATATGGATTGTGTATTCCTAAACTGACAGGCTGGGCAAGAGTTAACCAGAAAAGCAACCAAGAGGCCCATGTTAACTCTGGAGGAGCTACAGAGAGCTACAGCTGAGATGGGAGAATCTCAACCATAATGTGCCATGCACCCTAAAAATATGCACTTTATGGGAAATTGGAAAATTACAAAGCCATTAATGATCCAGTTAGCTGCTGTGGGAAACAGCAACAACGAGAAGGGCTTCGACTGGACATCCCCAGAACATCCACCTTGTTTTCAGCAAAGTCTTTCTGTGTAGATTTAGCTGGATGTTTTACATTGTTTCGCTGGGGGTAGAAAAGTCTCTCCGAAGCCGTAGTTCTTGTGCCGACAGAAACAAATAGTCTTCCAGGATTTTGTTTCAGTAGTAAGCTGTGGTGGAAACACATTTATTTACCTTCTACCCAACTAGATCGATCACAGAAAGTCTGATCAAATTTTACATATGACACCTTATGATATGAAAGACAATGAAATACCCCGTCCAGCAGAGGGAGTTCTTGACAAAGTGAGCCTGAGTCAAATCACCTGACAATAAAACCTCAGAGATTGGTTCAACCTTAGGTCAGCAATACACCCGCAAAATGCAAATCTTCATCATGTGCTATGTATTACACATAAACTGCGGGTTTTTCTAAAGAATTACATTTTTTCAATTTTTTACTTATTAAAGCCTGCTTCAATGTTCTCTACAACTTTGTCTCTGAACTGTCTGCTGTGTTCCTTGGTCCTCATGATGATGTTTGTTTACCAATGTTCACAGTAGAAGTTCGAGGGGTGTGAATAGTTTTGCAAGCCGTTGTTTATTGAACACACCCAAACACACTCACAGAACTAAACAATCACCTGTAGAGGTTTATGGATACTGATCTGTTCATATTTAGCCCGACATCAGAAAAAAAGTCTCTCTAAATTACATAAATTAAAGGTTTTAAAAAAAAAAAAAAGCCTGATAGCGCACTATCATCTATACATATAATCAGAGGGGTTTCACAAAATCAATCTATGCCCACACTGATTAGCAAACCAGTTTAATTATGACTAATAGCTGAATTAGGTGGAGTCAGAGCTGGAAAGTGCAGAGCGCAGTGAAAGAAACGTCTCCTCCCTTCTCGCAACGCCCCCGAGGCTGAATGATCACAGCTCTAAATGCGGTACCCAGCTGGAACTGATATGACGACAGGTCTCTGGGTGCGGGCGAGGGGAGGAGAGAGAGGGCCTGGCGGTTGTCATGGCGATACGAGGCAGTGGCTAGAGCCAGCAGTCCACAGTGTGTGACATGGCACATCCTGCAGCGTGCTGAGCGGATCATTGTCTAGGCTTATCTCAGTTCAGGGTGCTGAGCTACATTGATCAGGGAGACTGGGACACACACTGGAGGGCTGCTTCTGACAGAGAGGGTCAGGATAGGGGCGAGGGAGTGGCATCTGCAAATGACTGCATCAATATATAAAGACTATAAATGCAGGTCACGTGACTTTTTTTTATTATTATTATTATTATTTGCAACAGGATACATTAGGCACAAGCCGTGGAATTCCCTTTGTCAGGTGGAGGTGAAAGTTAAAGGTTTACTTAAAAATAAGGGAAAAACCCAAAGTGCAGGTGTGACTCCAGATTAATGCACCACACAGGAATTGCATAGAAACAGACAGGCTGCAGGAGGACATGAAAAATAGCTCTCTGACTGAGATATTTTTTTATGCAGGAGAGTTGATTGCTGAACAAGGAGAAGGTGATTGATTAGAAACTGAGTGCAGATGTGAGGGAAGTCAAGTATCTGAAGTTGAACTGATGCTGTTTTCCAGTTACCTCTGAAGTCGGAAAACGGTTTGACATCACAGCTGGGTTAACGTAACTGCTAACGTAGCTGGTGAAGTCGGGCTTTCAACACAGCTAGGCTCAAGTCGGCATCGTTTGCAACACCTATTGTTCTATGTTATACTTTCTATAAGCAAACACCACTGTTCATTTGTTCATTTTAGAGTTGCCGGTGCTACGTGATGCAATCTCACATAAACATGTTTCCACCACAGTTTACTACTGAAACTACCACTTTCCCAACGGGAAGTAAACTTTGGAGGGTTTTCCAGTTGATTTTTCTGACTGGGAGATGGGGAATTTCCCACTTCCGACAACAAACAGAAAACAAATGGGGGAAAATGGCCATCAGAACACACTGGAAACATGGGAAACAAGGAAGTAGAAACGTAACAATCCCGAGACACAACCCAACAGGAGAAATGATCAAGATTCGCAACAACAACTTTGAAGAGACAAAATAGATAAGAACTAAAATATTATTCTTTATTAACACCACGCGTGGGAAATTTGAAGTTTAAAATATTGAAGAACCATAACTAGAGACTGTCACTAAGAGCTAAATAAAGATGCATCTCAAGAATCATGAAAATATGAAATATGAAAAGCAAATACTGACAAATCCTAAAATAAGCACAACAGCAATGTCCCGAAGTTCATCACATCCTCACAGTTTTGCAGAGGTTGAAGAATTGGCACTTGGTCAAAATGCAAATAATTCAAACTTTGGCTGAATTGAGATAAAAATCTCAATTCTATTTAAGTTGGGATAATGGGATTGGATCGGAACCCAAATGAACTCGGCAATATTTTTAGGTAGATAAATAAATAAATAAATAAATAAATAAACAAACAAACTAACCAGGTCGAGTCGTGTCCTGTCAGGGAACTGTCTCTGCAGCATGTCAATGCAAAGTGCTTTGTAGTTCGGTACATCATGAGTGTACAGAGACACTGTGAACTGGAAACGTTGATGGTCGTCTGGACTCCAGTCACAGAACCTGAAACATGTTTAACACAGAAATACCACTGCTACTTCAAACAGCACTAACATAAATTGCAACACTGCACTAGTGCAAAAAAGCGACTGTACCAGACGGTATAAAGTATTAAGCAGATTTGTATAATCAACCACCTGAGGAGAAAACCTCGTCTTAATCAGCAGCATAACATGGAGAAAAGTCGCAATGTCAGTACAGACGTGCTTCACTTTATTCTGTGGAGTTCAACGAGTTCTGCATTTCCACATATTTACCAAATAAGAAGTGAACAGGATCAGGATCAGAACAGTTAGATCTATAAACCTATTTCACATCAGAAAAAATAAATACAACTGTACCTACGTGTCATTCTCTTGCAGCTGCTTCGTCAGCGTCTGGAATTTGTCCTGGAACCTCTCTGAGAGGGACTGGAAGGCCTGGATCAGCGAGTCCTTCAGCTCTGGATAAGGGCAGTCTGCATTCAAAACCTCCTCAGGAATGGTTTCTGATCTCACCACAATATATGGAGTACCAATATAGTATTTCTGAAAAGAAAAAAAAAAAAAATCAACCTAATGTTCTGTCCAATCACATATTTTTATGATGTCCAACTATGTTAATGTTTGTATAGTTAGATACATTTAGCTATATTCTTTTTTTAGGCTTTTAAAAAAAGGAAAATAAGAAACTGAATATGTGCTTTGGAAAATTTTAACCCATTTGACTACTTTAACAGGAAGAATGGGTTTTTCAGATGCAAACATTCTTTAAATCAACAGTGGAAATATTCTCCAACAAAGAAATTGTAAAAGAAAAAACAGTGCCATTAATTAGCAAAATCTCTTTGTTGCAGTGTAAAACTAAAATAATGTGTCCTGAATTTCAGAACAAAGCAGAGCACTTTTTTTTCTCCAATCTCATTTCAAGATTAGCCCAAAAAAATTTTTAATAAATACTAATTAGTAAATCCAATTTTAATAAATTTACCTAATCATTTAGGTCTCATCACATGACTTACCTCCTTTCATCCACAAATAAGCAAAAGAACTAAATTGAACCTACAATCCAACAAGAGGAGAAAAACATAAAAACTGAAATAAGACATAGTTGTAGTAACATATTGTGGAAAAATGCCATTGCCTGCCTTCCGTGGCCTACCTAAATCTAGAGTTCTGTACAATAACAATTCATTTAGTATTTTGACAATGTTTCCCTAGATTTAATTGTCAGAGTTCCATGTTTTGCATAGTAAATACATTATTAAACTTTGAAAGGTGAATAATCATGTTATAATTTATTGTTGGTCTGATGGAGTGATCAGCCTGGGCTGACGGGTCACAATCACAACAAGCTCTCTTTCACTGTAAATGTGAGTGTGTCAATTGTTGGAAAACCTTAATACTCTTCTTCTCATACTGTCTTATATGTCCAATTCTGTCCACATTTTCAAAACTCTGAAATTTGTCAAATTTCACTTGCTGTCCAGCAAATGTAAGGTATACACAATATGGAAAATGGCGATCAACTGAGAAACAGTCAAACACGCAGTAATAAACATACCTCAAAGCCAAGGTCCTTGATCTCCTGCTCTATGTCCTGGTACTCTGCATTAAGCTTTGCAATTACATCCATTTGTTGGTCTTTCACAGAATTGATCTGGCAATTCAAGAGTGGCACATAGAAAATGTTGGTGATTTATTTTTATACATACAGTCAATAAAAACATTGATTAGGTGCGCAACTCAACCTAATCATTAGTTTAGTAACAACAGTGTTTAAAAGGAGACTTCTCAGCTTAAATCATTCCACATTTAGTCCTTTACTCATTGAGAATTAGAAAAAACTGATTGAACGATTCTCTGATGGGACCTAATCAGTAGCTGCTTGTTTTCTAAAATGATTCATACACTTATGTTCTTCGAATGGAAACAGACTCTTAGAACAGAGAGAATGAATGGGTCGTATTTTTCTGTCATGAGGGAGAAATTACAAGAAGATAATGTTCATCAATTGCATTGATTTGCTCAGTTGTTTGGCCGTGGGAGGGAATACCCAAAAGGTGTCGACGGCTCCGACTGTATAAATACTGAACAAATTCAAAAGTCTTAAGTGAGCTCCATGGAAGTCATCTGGCAGCCGGAAGATCCTGAGTTCAATTCCAGCTGCTTCCACATGTCAGAGTGCCCTTAAGGCAAAACACTGAACCCCAAGTTTTCTACAGGTATATGGATAACAGAGCTATGCAAAAGAACTGGTTAACTAAAAAAAACAAAATTCACATTTAGTCAATTTACCATTTAGGTTAAATTAACCCATTTCTATCTGTGCCTCGCAAAAGTACTACTGCCCGATAAACAAAATTTTATCAAAATGTACCAGTTTTCACTCAGAATTGAACTGATTTTTTTTAAATAATAGACTTAAAATAGTGTGTCATAATAGTGTATTAACAATATGTGGTTTTCCAAATATTTTCCAAATAAAAATTATATGTAGGCTATATCTGTTCAGTAAAGCTTTGTAAAGCCACTTTTCTCAGTAATTACGGCCAGAAGTCTTCTGGGTTATGTCTCTTCCTGTTTTGGTTACCGAGACACTGGAATATCTACTCAACATTATTTGCAAAAAAGTGGAAACTCCATCAGATTGAAATGACAGCAGATGGATACAACTGACATTTATTCTCATGAATCCTTTATCTAATTTATTGCATGGTAGCTCTGGCTTTATGGTTTGTGCTGTTGCTCTGCAAGAAGGGGTTAACCATAGTTTCAGGTTTTTAGCAGTCTCTGAACTGGTATTGTCTTGTATTTAACTCTATCTTGTCATCTACACGTACCAGTTGGTCTGATCTTCCTAAAGAAAGCATTCTCACAGCATGGTGCTGCAACTGCCATGCTTCACTATGGAAATTATATTATGTTTTTGTCCAGCCTGTCAGTTGCCCAGTTCAGATGGACGGTCATGTGTTGGTAGTTTGTCTTACTCATTCCATCTTCAGAGGGTAGGCAAAACAGTCCTCAATAAAATACCCAAATATTTGAGGTATTATATAACCTTACTCCACTGTGTTCCTTCATCCCCATGATGGTGCTTGCTCACTACTGCCCTCTAATGGTCTTCTCTAATGGTGGATTTATACAGACAGGAAATTACATATAGCTGAACTTCATTGATTTGATGACTTCTGATTTCAACGGTTTGGATTTTATTAAGACATATCAGAGTAAAGACAGATCAAATATTGCTTTTTGTATTCTGCACTACTTTATGTTAGTCCATAACATAAAATCCATAAAGTATACTAAACATACTGAGTATACTGACAAGACACCTGCAAAGGCTTTTGTAAGCCATAGTCTTGATGCAGGAATGTAATATGCTTCCCTTTGGCCTCTGTAATTTAGGTGCATGGCCACTACCTTTTATCTATGATAACTAATTTTTTTGAATTTCATCACAGGGTACATCACTGATTAAATTTTTGTCAACTTTAATTTTACACACAGTGCCTGCAAATTGCATTCTGCCATGTTGCACGACATTACATTTAACCTTGCAAATGTAATGTCCATTCATCCATTCATCATAAAGTCATGAATGGCAATATGAGACAGAGGTACATGATTTAAAGAAACTGAACAAAGAATGATGTACATATTCATACAATAGTATTTGGTGTGTAAGTAGGAGAAGAGTTGGAGAAACAAAAAAGAAAATATAAAAGAAAACAATTTTTTTTTATGTTTAATGTCTGCTTAAAGCATGAAAATGTATTATGAAATAAGTAAAATGTTCAATATGATCACCAAGCATACCATTTGTGTGCAGAGAAATACAAATCCCATAAAAATTGTGGGGTCTGACCATTCTAAGAACTAAGGTTTCACTGGCCATGCAACAGAATGAATGGATTTTGTAATTAGTAACATGCTCTTCATATCAAAAACTGATTTTGTCCATTAAAACCAGGCATGTCAGATACTTTGAGTCTGAAATGTATTAACCAACCAGCAAGGTCAAAGTGTACTGATTATATGCTGTAAAGTATATGATCACTCAATTCTAATAACATTTGAAAATTTCGAGACTTTTGAATTTTCATTCTAAAAGAGTGAGGTATAGATGCTTACTTGCACAGCAACTTTTCTTCCTTGTTTAAAAAGAAGGAGTCAAACTGGCTGTGTGTTTATGTGAGCAGTCAGCTAACAAGAGAACGGGAGCCCATGGGAACCAAACAAGTAGAAGTGAGCAACACAAAGTCGACAATATGTCTGGTCTGAAGTGGTCTGTCTTTAAAAACCAGTCCTTATGCCTTAAGCCTACCATTCATCTCTAGAGCCAACCACAAGCTCTTGGGACTCAAACAAAAAAATTATGACTTTAGGACTGTAAATAGCTAAAAACAAAAAACAAAAAACAAAAAAAAACAACAACAAGGGTTTCATGAATAGATACTCCTGTGCACAAGTTGAGTTCAGTTTGTGAAAAAGAGAGAGTCTGAACTTTGCTGGATGTATAAGACGGACAGCTTTCTACCAGCAGAGTCAATACGTCTCTAAAATGCAGTGTGTGGACTGGGTAAATAAATACAGCCACATAAAACCAAAAGGTGCTAAATTCAATTTTACTTGATTTAACTGATGGACAAAAATCTTTTTTCAATCTGTTAAGAAATGTTGCCAGTCTATGATAAATATAGCCAGTCTTTTTCAAGGTTGCTGTGACTAAACTGCAGACATCCAGTTGCATCTTCATGTCACATCTGAGACATACCTGCTGCTTTACTTGTTCCCAGTCTGACATGCAGTCATTGAGCTGCTGATCCTCCATCTTGCCCAGCCTGATGCACAGGTCATCTTTGAGCTGATACAGAGGCACAACGGTAGCTATTCTGAATGCTTTCCGTTCCATTTCAAGAGATTGCCCTGAACAGCATAAATATATACCCGTGTTATATATATATACAAACAGAGGAGAACAGTTAATGTGACTTACTGTATTTCTGAAGTAAGAAGACGGCAGTGTCTGTTATATCACTTGGCTTGATCTCGTTAAAAAAGTCACGGATATCGTCCTCTGCCTGTTCCCTGTTTTGCAGAAGAGAGAGAAAAGTCAGTTCATATCCACTAAAGGCACTCAGTTCAAAGTGTAGGACAAGAAAAAAAAACCTCATGGCATCTACAAACATATACCATGAGGTTTTACAAAGACACTGTGATAAAACGGGTAAGACACCTGAAATGAACATTCTTTTTTTTTCTTCTCTCAAATAAATGATAGAACAACCTCAAAAATGTCAAGTGAATCCAGCTCAGAATGATTTACGAGCGACATAGCGTTCCCACACCCTTGGGTGTTTAGCCAAGTAAAGGTCAACTGGCAACTGGCAGAGGGCAGTACCGTTAAGCTGCCATGGATAGATCCATCGATGAGCACCTTTTATAAAGCATGTATCACTGTCTATATGACACCATGATTTCAATTCAACATAGGGCAAGATTAAAATTGGTTTCTCCTTTTTAATTTATTTCCGTTTTGTTAATTATAAGCATTCAAACTGCAAAGATCCTGGAATATATTATGAATAAAGGGCAAGTGGGGAAAAAAAAAAAAAAATCCTTACTTGGATGCCAGAAAGACGCAAGAATTTTTATACAGATTTAATTTGTAGTTTGCTAATTGTTTCTGATGGCATAATACGAAATTCTCAAAAAAGAAAGTGTTGAACTTTCCGAACTGTTCCGCGCTCCTGCTTATGACGGGGTTTGTGGAGAGATGAGGAGTTAGAAACATCCATCACACAAGAATAACGGACTTTCACTGAAGGTTTTTCAGACAGGGTGTCTTGTAGCTCTGGTACGAATTGAACTTAAATGGCCTGTGGTGGAAATTACCCACGAATGCTGGCTTTTTAGCAGCTGGCCTTAGGGGTGTTATGACTGTGTGGAAAAAGGACATGGTAACCATAGCGATTTATTTACCAGTGTTCAATGTGACAATGTAGCTTTCACAAGGTATTCTGTGTGTGTGTGTGTGTGTGTGTGTGTGTGTAGGGATGCAAGAAGTGGCATATCTCGATGGCTCATTACTGAGGCTCATAGTTGTGTATATCATTAACCTTGGTTGGCTCAGACACAGTCATCACACAGCCAAACAAGCTGCACCCCAGAGCTAACACTGCCCTTCTCACTTCACAAGGCAGGACACTTCTAGGTCCTGATCACCCACGGCCCATACAGAGAAGGGCAGACAAAGTTTCCCATGAAATGACACAACTATTACCTCCCACTTCTCCTGGTCACTCCACCACCTCAATTCAACCCTTAAAACTCCATCAGGAAATCAACTTAAGCCTCTCTACCTCTTTCCCCCCATGGGCATATTTTTCTTCTTCGATCTGACTTGGTTCCCTCTTTTTTTAAACACCCCCCATCTTTGTCATGCAGATTTCTATGCGGGTGCAATAGGAGCTTAAGCGGAATGGTTTCTTTGTGCGAGAAGCTGATTCAGAAAACTGCAGCAGATAATGACAAGCAGTTATAGTGGGTACTTACTCAGCTTTTTGCAGCCTGGGGCATTCTCTGCTCCACACCTGCCGGTGCTGTCGTAATAAGGAGTTCTCCTTGGTTGCCTTGGCTGCACAGCACGTCTTCTGAACCTATAAAACAAGGTTTATTCCACAAGAAGAAAAGAGAGTCCTTAAAGGGGATTCTTGCTTTTAAATGTCTATAACTTATAACCTGGAGGGGGAAAAAAAAAACACTTATTTGACTCTTGAATTCATAAAGTTTTTGAAACCGAGTTCAAAAATGACCATTTAGAATTAACGGCATTACAGACAGAGCTGTGAGACAGGTGACGTTTTAATAAGAAAATGTAAGCTTTTTAGATCAAAATTTTACTGTTGTCTTGATTAGCATAATTGTATGTGTGAGTCTCATAAGCTGAGGTAAATCAGCTGAAACCCCCAAATAAACAGTGGAAAATTCAAATAATCAAGGAGACACATGCATGATATGCATGAGGCATGTTATTAGGAGAGGAAGAAGGACGCAACACTCTTAATCTGGTAACATTTCTTTTGCTTTTTCATTGCGGCCCGTTCTTCAGAGAACTGTTAGGGCTGACATTCTTTATTTTATTTTTGTTTTTATGCACAGACCAGTGATTCATTTAATTGTACTAAACAAAATCTCACATACAGCGTCACATACATTGGTACAGTGTGTTCATCACAAACAGGACGTCTAAAGGATTTTGGTGCTAATTTATGGCCCGTTTGTGTGTTGGAAGGCGGCTGCTGTTTATACATAAAAAATGTGCACATGTTCAGCTGAACATCTATCCTTAATCTAACATCCATGTTAGAATAAAGCAAAAATGGTTCACACACACTTTTACAAGCATAGACAAGTTTCTAGTATAATCCTAACTACATTTTCAAAATGTCTGACGGCAAACAAGTTCACTCTGAAAGCAGACTGCAAGATGCTAAAAAGTTTTCAAAAATCCCAAACTGTCATCACGAGCAGGATCTTGCTACTGTTAATATACACATGTGTGTCTGTGCAACCAGAAATAGACTACGGTACACAAGTTTAGTTTTCATGAGAGGTGGGCACTGTGGAAAGCTTTCCTCTCTGAGAAAAACATGAAGGCAGCAGAGAATCCGGACAAAGAGCAGAACTTCTGAAAAGCATATCAAGGAAATATTCGGAAACTTAACTAAAAGTATCATGGTTGGGATTGTTTTTGCTGCAGCAGGACATGACCATCACAAAATCTACCATAACTTCTAGTATATGTCAGAGGGTGCTTGAAGAATTGGACTGTGCAACATGATAACCACCTCTAAATACTGGTAAATCTACAAAGGATAGACAGAAAGTCTTGAAATTGAAAGTCCGAGGCTGGATTAAGGATTAGATTTTTGTCTTTTAAAGATGCTGTTGGATGATTTGAAATACCCTGTAAGAAACGCCAAACACATAGCTGAAAGTGATAAGTGGGGAAATCTCTCCTAGGAAGGATGTCAGATATTGACAGAGGGCTACTAGAGAATCAGCTAAAGAGGATAACATCAGCTATTCATTTTAGGTAGTAAGATATTCTAACCTTTTCTTCAGCTACTAAACACATTCTATTTTTGTTAATACAGTTTTCAGAAGTAAAAATGTTTTTGTTCTTATTTAAATGCCTTTAAATCACTTTCGTTCACTAATATGAAAAAACAAAATCTGATTAGACATCGATATGTGAACATTTCTTAGTGAAGAAGAGAATATTTAATGGGGTGTCAACCTAAGAGTCCCATCTCGCCAAAATAAAACAATCCATCAGAATGGGCCTTAAGTTAGTGTATAAAATTATATGGTAATTTTATTTTTTCTGTCCTGAGTTGAGTCAAATAAGAAAACCTACAGCAACAATATGGCGGTCCACAGCTTGTAACAGATTCATGGTACTCCTGAAAGTCCTCTTAATACTGAGCCGTGGAATTACTGTGTATATCCAAAGCTTTCTATCCTCAGTTTCAGGCTGTACTGTTTAAATCCATGACCTTCCCAACAGAGGACCTTTTTACAAGGAACACTTAATCTTTGGGGAAAAGGAAAAACATGTTACCAATAAAACAAAAGATAGTTCTGTGAATATTTTATTTTTGTTCTAAAACAAAATATTCAGTTTGGTAGATATTAAGCAATAGCCATGTAATAATCACAAAGGAACACACATTGCTGTCCATTGCTCCATTTGAAAAATATACCAGTGATTGATGCTCAAATTCTACTGAATCTTAAATATAACAAGGAAATAGATTGTGAGAGCCAGATTGACTGTCTTTCCCTGTTAGTTCATCCATCCAACTCTTCTCTATGCCCACTTGGGGACAACTGCATATCTGCAGCAAGTAATGTTGGATCCCACTGGGGGCAGGACCAGAACCTGCTGGAGGGGTCATTTACAATATACATTTTTTATGGGCTGGAAACACCTTGGAATTCCCCAAAATAAGATGGAGAGTCTGGGATTCCCTACTGATCCTTTCCATAATTAATGGATCTTGGATAAGAAGAACGCCATGGATGCTCCACTCTTTCGATCCAGTGAATTGTTTGCTAGTTCTTCCTATGTTTTGTTCAAACAATCAGGTATTGGGGCATGGAGATGCCCTTGTGGGCACCTTGACCACTTGTCAACCATTCTGTTTATATCTAGTGGTGAGATATTATTAGTTTGCTTTATTTCGTAGGAAATATTGATAGTATGAGATAACTGCTCCTGAATATCATTGTCTTTCTATTTTAACTCTTTTATAAGTAAACAGATAAATACATTTTGTCTTTTTAGTCGCCGTTTTTTAAAAAAAATGCTTTTGTTCTATTTCTTTTAACCTAACCTTGGTGCACAACAGACCTCACCCCAAAGGCTTACAGTGTATTTTACAGAAAAAAATAGTGTTTTTAAACACAGCCTGAATTACCCACAATATAAAACACATTTCAAACTTGTAGCAACTCAGAATCATTTATTTACCTTCCATGTTGTCACCGAGAGAGATGCTGAAAAGGGCTTCCCTTCAGCTGTGTGACTGAACGTGAACACATAGGCCGTCTTATCTTTAATGTGCAGAAAGCCGCATTGGAACAAGCCAAAGGCATGATGCAAAAAGACTTCTGACAGCTCACCAATTAAAACAACATAGGCCTAACACCTTAATCACCACTGGCGTCACAATAACTGCTCTGCTTAGTCATACAACTAAGAACTTAAAATGGTTTCCTTTAAAACAACAAAGAATTAAATTAAAATTTGCAAAGATGTTATTCTCCACCACAGTATTATTAATACACCCATTCATATTTCTGGACCGAGTAAAAGTGAAAAACAGTACTTTGTAAGTGTTTGATTCATGTAGTCAAAATATGCTATTTTAATATGTATATCAAATAGCATATCAAGTCATGCTGTGTTATAATCACTCGTCAAACTCAGGTTTTTGTCAGCTTGTGCTCTGGTAAGGGTACAGAATGTCTTTACAGCAATTTCCTCCTCATTTGCTGCTAAATCACAGCGTTAGCAAATGTACCAGGAATTCATACTGCATTGTTTTAGGGCATGGATGATCCTGATTACCAAAATCTACCTTTTGTCCAATGAGATGGTACTCCCGACGTCTGGCATCAACAAAGGCTTGCAGCGTTTCATATTCAGCCAGTTTGTACATGGGGCCGCCAACACCGTTTTTCATCCGCAGTGTCAGTTTTTCTGCATGGATGAAAGCAAATGATATGGCTGAATTGGAATCCTTGAAACTCTTGAAAATCTCATCAGTTATTGTCTGAGGTGAACCAAACTAAGAAAATAATACAGGGGCAGACAGAGGGACTACATCGATTGCAAACTATATGTATATTTCAGAAACTACTGCAAGGAGTGGGTTTAGCAGACAGTAAGCTCAAGCTGTCAGACATATTTTTCTAAGTGCTTCACCTGCTACTCTGCGAGGAAGGTGAAGGAACACAAAGCAACGTAGCCTCTGACAAAAACATCAAAAACATGACAGCACCTGGGGCTTTTAACGGGTTTAGTGAGCCAGAGATATACAAAAGTTCAGTAGGCCACTTTATTAGTAGTCAGGAATCTCGAGCCAATTCTCACCTGCTTCTTGTGCCCTGTAGCTTGTTATGAATCTGGGTAGATTCCCTCCACTTATTTGGTCCATATTTAATAAATTAGATTCCCTTACAAATAAAAAAAAAGATCATTGCATTTTTAAAAATCATAAAGACAAAATAGGCACATTGCTCTACAGATACACAGGCAAAAATAAATAAATCAGGCTATATCTTGTTTTACAAAATCTCTGAGGAAAGTGCTTATAAATATGGAGAATCAGAAACAGTAAGTCAAATTACTGCAACTCTGCATCACAACAAATGCAGAGTTGTGCAGACTGCAAACAACAAATGTTGTGATAGTGCAAAGTTCACTGTAAATATATCAAAAACAATGCCAGTTTTTAAAATAATCAAACACAAAGTTGCATCAACAAAATATTACACAGAATTTTTAATAATATGAGTAAAATATAATTCTGGATTATCATTGTGATTGTAAAGGTCTCCAGAATGCGTTTTCATTTTTGTTTCCAACAAATTTAAAGCAACCTCTATGATTATTGGTGTATAAAGGTTTGTAAAAAGGTCAATATATATGTATATATATATATTTATTGCAGTAGTGTTATTTGACATCAAAGGAGGTAAAGCCTATCTTTAAAGAGGTGCATTATTCAGTGTGAAAAATTCCACAAATTAGAATATTATTTGATTATTTCTGATTATTTGCTCTTCTTTTCAAAAGGTTTGTGGTACTATGCACTCCAACAGGATGCATATCACTTCCATGTCTTTTAAAAGAGAAACAAGCCTGCAGTATCTCAGATCCTCCATTATACTTAAGAGTGGGCATGAGACCATGAAGTGAAGCCAAAAAGCTTAATCTTAGCCTAATTTGACCAAAGCATGCATTTCCTGTTAAAATACGGAGATTGGGTGACCCCTAAAGATGCTGCTCTTTATATATATATACACGTATATTTTACTGGTCTGATGTATGATTCTAATCTCAAATGTCATATTTTATTACCTAAGATCAAAATCTTATTAACAGAAATAGACTCGAAAACATCAATCTGTTGAGTAATTAATGGATATAATGTGTTTCACTTAATAAATTGGATTACTGAAATTAAGTTTTCAATATCATCTTAATTTACTGAATATGACTGTATTTTAAAAACAATAGTGTCCATAATGTAGAAAACACGCCATATGTTGAGATGTTAGCCACATAAACTCTAATAAATTTCCAGATATCTGGAAATTTGTGAATAATAAGTTTGTTTTTTAATAATCGACAATCCTAAAAAAAATAGCTACTACAGGATAAGCACTTCTCGATGTCCATATCGCATCAAAAATACAAATAAACCTGGAAGTTATTAGAAAAAGCATGAGCAGCGAACGTCAACTTCTAAAATCAAACAAATTAGACTTCAATAAATTGTAATGGGTTACCTTTACATAGGTCTTATAAGTATTCGTTGTCATGCCAGAAAAATCAACATCTATTTACTTACTAAACCATCTGACTTACCTAGTGTCCCTCTCTTTAGTGTATAGGTTGACAAACCACAGTAACCACGGTAACTGTCATCTCTTCTCTAACTGGTCATTTCAAGCGTACGTACCTCCTCGGAAACGCCTACTTATCATGCCACAACCAATCAGGAGTGCACTTTGGTTTCCCACATTCCCAGTTACGTCATGTCAGTTCGCTCTGCCTGGGACTGCTGCTAGAAGCAGGGAAGGGGTTATCTCTTCTTCCCCTCCAGTATGGACACGAGTTTCGTTCTTCCACATGCATGGGAGTAAACTGGACTTTACAGATGAAGTTACGCATTTCCACGTAGGTCCGAGCCACAGCTCAGCCCAGCGCAGCAACTGTCCTCCAAGGTATGTGAATTGTTCTTTTCTTGTTTGTTTTTCATGGCATTTCCAACTGCAGAGTAATTTAGGAGGGTAGAGCATCTCTGCTTCGCGGAGAAGAAGCAGGAGGGAACGGGCAGCTGGTTCAACTCTGAAAGTCTCGTTTTTCGGAGAAAACCAAGAGGGAGCGCTTTATGTGCGAGTGAAAGAGAAGATAAGCTATTTTAAAGCTTCTTCTCTGCGGGAAACAATCCAATTCCCCGCTAATCTTCTTCTTTGGACCGTTTCCTCGCAGACCGCGCTCACCTTTCAGGGAGAGTCCTCGCGCTGTTTCTTCATGTCGTCCCTAACCGTTGCTGGGAAAACTTAACCGGATAGCGCAAAGAAACAGTTTCTGCACCAGTTTTTTCTTAAAAAGAACTCACTGTATTAAGTGAATATGCCACTGTAACCTTGCGTTGTAAGCGGTAAAGTAAAAGGCAGGTGAGTTTTAGGAGTGTGGGAATCTCTGGAATGCGAGTTTGCAGAGAGGCGGAGATCCTAATTTCTCCTGCCCCCACTAGATTGACTTTATCTTTTTTTTTTTTTTTTGAACTCCCACGTTTTACTCGCTACGTTCAAACTACGCCATATTTAATTACCCTAATCTGCATTTTTTTAAACCCAGGGGCGTTTCTTCAAGCTCCCATTGGTGTGTATTGTGCAGAAAACCGACCAAAAGATAATGGACTTCGTTGCCACCGTGACTGCTTGAGAAAAACTCTAATTATCTAAGCTAATGTTTTTACGTGCAGCATGCTTACAACGGTACTTATTGGGTAATTGTCTCAAATCTCATGCCACTCACCCAAGGATTACATTATTAGTAAAGGATGTCAGATTCATGGGAATTTTCTGTTGCTGCTTAATTAATTCAGTGGTCTAGACTTTATCCTAATTGTAACACTGCACACATAGGGATAACAGGTAAAGTGATTATTGGTCTCAGTTTATAATGACAGCACATAGTTTTAAAGGCAAAGAGGGGGGAATTTTAACAAAATTTACATATGTTGACCCTTTTTTGTTTTAAGGTTAGGGTTTTTTGATACATTGAAATTTTATGCAAATGTTGCTATGTGCAAAATATGTCCAATGACATTTGCGATCCCAATAGGAATATTTGCAAAAGGTCAAAGCACTGTTTGGATACAGTGTTTGGTAGACTAAATTAATTCAAGTCAATGCATGAAAACTTTGCTTTACAGTTGCCACTTGCATCTTCTCCATAGCCCATGACTGATAGAGCTTAGTGAGCAAGATCATGAAGGTCAGAAAGAAAGAGAGAGAGGTTGAGGCATTGGGATGACACATTCTTTGTATGTTTCATAAACAGAAATATATATATTTTTAATTTAATATCAAAGTAGAAAATACATGGTGTGATACATTACATTAATGAAAGGACAAAAAAAATCACAGAACTAACAAAGAAAAAGAAAGGTATTGTGTTTTAAAGAATGAGCATTATTAACAGAAATATTTAATATTTTTCTTGTAAGTGGAGGAAAAGTGAGGCTTTCAATCAACCAACTTAACAGCAGCAACAGGTGGGAGAGGGGTGGCAGTGTGCTATTTAAATGCATGCAACTATTCCATTACTACTTTATTTATTTGTGTAAATGAATAAGGGACTTTACAAACACCTGTCAAGTCCCTTTTTCCACCCAAATTCGAAATGGAATGGATTTGATTTAGTTGGTAATATAGGGCACCGTCTAATGCAGCACAAACTACATTATTGAGTCTCTACTTCATTCTGTAGCTTACACCATACATAAATCCTGGTTTATAGGACGTTCTTGGGGTTTTCTGCTAAAGTAAAACCACCCTCAAAACAGTTAATTTATTTTCAGAATAGACATTCACTTATTTAATAACAACTTCCCACAAAAATATGGTACCATTATTTGAGCTGAGTGCAATAACTTTGCATAGTCATTAGTGATGCTTAATTTGCATAAAAGCAATCACAAGAGAAAACAAAAATGTCATTTTCTAATCGCCATAAATATTCCCACATGATTTTTCCCTTGTTTTGAACTTCAGCTGGTTTTTCCTGTTTTTTTGTTTTGTTTTTCGTGCTTCTCCTTTTTTGTCAATCACATATTTTTACTTCAGAGCTTTTAACAACTGCTTTTCTATTGACATATCATATTTTTTAAATTAAAAAGAAAGTATTACAGCTTACACTTGCATGTCTTCCTTCTAAAGCCAAATTGGAAATGTAAGCTCATTAAAAGAGGCGGTTTCTTGCTTGTTTGTTCTTCCAACAAATGGTGAAAGTCAGTCTAATAAATGAAGATTGAACAGTTTATTGAAACATCTGGAATAGCATTGCAACCCCACTTCTAAGGCTTTAAATGGTTCGAAAAACATTATCATCTAATTGTTTTGGGGTAATGAAGTCTACACATTTTGGTAATGATTGTAGTCCTTGTCTCCTCCTGCCTCTGAAAAGGAGCATTCTCAAGTTTCAGCTTTCATCATGCAGAAGTAGACAGGTTATCTGCATGCCAAGTCAGTTTTATACTGGAACACTAGAAGTTCAGATGCTTCGCTGCCTCTTGCAGTCATCCTCCCTTTTTCTCACACCGTCAGACCTAAGCACAGATACTCAGTGAAACCCTCCCCTCGTGATTCACATTACTGCACTGCTTACACACAGCCTCACAGCTGACAACCATCAGGGGTGGTTTTCTTTGGAATCGAAAGAGCAAGACGGAGCCAGACTTTTCCACTATCTTTTGTTGGTGCTTTGCAGTTTTTAGCTTCTAAAGCACAACACTTTGTTTGGCCCATTGGATGTTCATTTTTAATTTTCAGAGGACTTCTTGTACAACTTGATCAAATTATTTCATCATGGTACTTCTTGTTCATTGTTCTTTGAGAAAAGTGTGATTTGTTTAAAGAGCAACGTGAATTGCCTCACATGTGTGCTAGCACTATTATGTGTTTGGGGAAGGCATTCTTTATATAGAAGAAACAACCCCATCCTGCAGCAGACAAAACCGCAACCATAGCAAAGGTCGGTGGTGTGATTATTTGACCCAGACTTCATGGTGAGTTCTTTTTAATGGAAACTGACAAGAGCTGAATAGCTTGGTAGTCTTTGGCAGGTCTGTTCTCCTTATGCTTTTTCACCCCCTAAATTCTGGCTAACATCAAGGCTTAATCCTTTACCCCCACATTGCGTGTCAGATTTCCTTTTTTTTAAGCTACAGTCAAAAAGAAGCCCCCTCCCACACTATTCCCCACCAATTTCTTGGAAAGAGAAAGTATTTTTCCAGTCCCTTACTTCATAGGCTGTAAGCTTGGAAACAAAGTGGTGAGCTTTCTTTGTGTCTGTGCTAAAGAGCCCCCCAAGCACCCTCTCCACCCTTCCAGTTCGTCAAGACAAATTCAGTGTCCATTGTGTGCAACTCAGTCAGTTCTAATCCCTGAAAGTTTTTACTGCATATTTTGTTCAATTAGTGTTTCACCAATGGACACACCATGCAGACATAATGTACAAGAACACTTAAGTAAATAAAAATATAATCTTTTGGTTGAAGAGAGAAAAATCTTTATACTCATCGAACGATGTACTTAATTTATTTTATTTCATTTTGCTGTTAGTGGCTCATGCAATATGGAGAGCCATTTGCGCCAAAATTAAATAAATAAATAAATGGGTTAAATAAATAAAAAAATGAGTAAA